TACTTCAGAGTATGGTGTTTTATTTTCGACGTTTCGCCAGTCATCCGACTAGCTTTATTGGCTCGTGCTGAGGCAAGAGCCATATCTCACTTGGATATAGTAGTAAGTGATAACGACAATGGACTGAGGTTTAAACGTTAGTTTACTAGTAGAAAACCTGATGGGTTAATATTTGTTGATGAAAATGAGTTAATTCCTCGAGCAAAAGTTTAACCCTAGGGTGTTAGTTTATAATAAAATTGCGTTAGAGAGGGTTTCAAACGACAATATGCACATTTTACAACAACACCATGAATTCTGCGCACTGATTTTCGGCAACATGATACGACAGAAATACGAGCGACTTCTTGATTTAGAATTGTGAACAATTTACAGCATTAAAAAAACTCCGAACATTTAACTATTTTATTAATATCTTCGGAGAACGAGAATCAAATTGACCCATCTTCACTTTTAGATATGTTCGGATGTTTTCTGAGAGGTCCAGGTACTCAGACCTTCACAATTTAAAGATCTTAATCAGTTCAAAATGTTCGGATTTTTTCTACTTTTGCCGTTCGGTAAATTACAACCGCGTTAAAAGTAAGCATCCCTATTTATCAATACAATTCATTACAACACTGCAAACATCTCCTTCACACGAGCCTTCATTTTTTAAAATGATCTCTTGTCAAGATTACATTCAAATAAATGAATAGTCATACTCTGAAGTAAATAAATGGAGTTGAGTTATTTAATATATTACCAGAGTGATGACACTACACAGAAATATTCACTATTTTTTAAATGACATCGTCAAGTAATGTCAAGCCAAGAAATATATCACTATTCGTTTTGTTAGGAGTTTATCTTCCTAGTTACTCACATATGTCGCAAAACAAGATGAACATGTTATTAATAATTATTTCATAAACTTACCCAAGTGACATATTGGATGTACATATATAGCTATTTTTTATAGTCTTTTTGTCACTATCCTAATGGATTTTGTGCATGTTTCATTATAAAATATCCATGCTTCCTGTTGTCTTACGGTGTTAAAATGGTAAAACATCGTATATGTAGAACAAGGGATTAACATGACAAAATGTCACCACATAGTTGTTCACAATATTGTGAGTTCAATCTCTGGTCAGAATTGAACATCTGAGAACTTGTAGATGATTAACCCTATCAATGCTACAAAAAAGCAAATATTTCATTTTGCTGCTAATTCAAGAATGAAGAGCTGTCTCAGTGCTAGACTTTTTATTGTAAAATAGAGGAAATTAGGCCTCGGTATATCTGACTTCATAACTTAGTCATTATTTCCGATGGAACCATGTATGATAAATCGTTGGAAAGCTAAAATTATTATCTTGATGAATAAATTATTCAAATATGCAAATTAAATATGACGTCATCAATATGGCCGCCATTTTACTTATTAGAAAAATAACGCTGTAAAATACAATTCATAGGTAATCATGAATTAATCCATTTGCCCCTACATCACATGCAATCAAATATAAATTATAAAATAGGACAAAAAAATAGACAAAAATGTAATTGTCCAGGAATTTGTCATTTGCAGATGATATTTGGAACAATACATAGCACCGTCGGCCGACCATGACATTTATAATGTTATCAAAGCTCATTTTCTACTAAAATCCTTGATTTTTTACCAAAATATTGTTGCAATTACAAAAACAACTAATATTACATTAAATTTATATCTTATTTTGTCTAATGAAATCAATACATAATATAAAAATGAAGTAAATCAAATCATTCTAGATCAATACATGTATAGAAGATAAGAGAATTTCACACAGTCATACATATATCAATATCTGTTACCATGACAACGGGTAAGTGGATGTAACATTTTGTAAGAATTTACAATTTACAGTACATAAGTATACTAGCGTCCAGATTGATTTCAATTCTATCGTCAAAAAATCTGCTGAAAGTTTTAACTTATTGTTGGCATTATGGCAATTAATATATGTTACCATGGCAACAGATTATGGTGTAACTTGACGTCATGATTAGTTTGTTTGTTTGTTTTATTCATTATTTATATTGAAAAGTTACGGTCATATAAATTGGACATTTAGATTGATTGATATGTCCCTTGTAATTTCTTTCAATTTTTTCCCATTGTTTTTACATGTCAACATACAGATTGTTGGTTGAATAAGGTATTGAAGGAGATATATTCTGTGCTATAGTGTTACTATATATTCATGTTCAATGTTTCTGCCAATGTTTTCCGTATTTATTCTAACAATATCACCTCAAATGAATTTGAGAATGAATTGGATTTTGGATATTTGGGATGAATGAAAAGAATTTATCAGACATCACTCGGCTCCCATCGAACGCAGTGAAGACCGAGCGTGCGTAGATGATAGCTGGTACAAACACTATAGAAGTCTCATATCAGAACTCCGATATGGGAATTTGAGAAGATCAAATCTCAAATGTTAAGTTGGATTTGAACTTCTGATAACTTGTAGATAATTTTGAAAAATAAATTTGGTCAATTTGAAGCAAGTTGAAAAAATACCTTTTAGCCTTTTACGAGGGGTGATCAATAAGTAATGGACGCTTTTTTACACAGATGCTTTTTATGGACCAATCCCTTCGATTTTCTTACCAGTGATACATCATTCAATTATCTATCAACTCTGAAGATTTGAAGACAATATATATATTACATGTTGATATATCTTTATTTCCATGAAGGAGGTACAGGTACCCCGGGACCGACATTTACGTCACATATTCTGAAGCTATTTTAGATTGTTTAACATGCAATGCAGTTGAATGCAGGCTGAACAAAACAAACCATTATGGTCATGAATTACCCCATTTTGTTACGCCATAGTAATAATATAATAATTTCGAATATTTTATCATCACTATGTGGTATTCATGCCACATTCATTCCACAGGGCCCTCTAAATAGTTTCCATCAAGTGCTACATGTACACAATTCCTCATCCTCTTAACTCAAGATTGTGAGACAAGGCTGAATCCATTCTCTGACATGGTAGCAAGATGCAGTTGCACGTGTTGTTTTATTTCATCAATGTCAATAAACCTGCGTCCTTTCTCTATAGAAATAAGTAGTATAGAAATAAACAAGTCACATATGAGCAGATATGGACAATATGGTGCATTGGTCAAGGGCTCAATTTTGAGGTCCAGGGATATTGTTTTCTGAACATTTTGAGATCTGTGGCCAGGTGCATTGTCCATATGGAGTAGGGTGTGCCCTTCTCTCACCACCCCTTTCTTCCACTGAATGCTTTCTCAAATTGACCTGCAAACCCCTTCCATACAACACTCTGGCATTACAATACTTTCTGTTTATGTGTGACCAGTCAGCAAAAAATTTTAAACAACATATAAAACGTTCAAATCTAACTGAAATTTACCAAACTGGCTAAAATCTGAATATGTGACGTAAATGTCGGTCCCGGGGTACCTGTACCTCCTTCACGGAAATAAGGATATATCAATATGTATTATATATCTTGTCTTCAAATCTTCAGAATTGATAGATAATTGAATGATGTATTACTGGTAGGAAAATCAAAGGGATTGGTCTATAAAAAATTTCTGTGTAAAAAAGCGTCCATTACTTATTGATCACCCCTCGTATAACCTTTTTACCTTGTAAATGTCACTGAAGGTCAACTTTTAAATAAAAAGTCAGATTTGAACTTCTGAAAACGTGTAGTTAAAAAATTGAAGTCAGTCTAAACAGTATTTGTTAAGTTATTGGAAATTGCAAGAATTTGTTACAGACGCCAACTGCCGTCACAAAAAACGGAGACCATCTCAATTATGTCACCACTTTTTAGTGGTGACATAAAACATTGAATGTATTGACGCCATTTAACCCTTCATTAATATTCCATTATCAATTGTCTCTGATTCGTCATTTGCGTGTCGACTCTATGGAGATTTAAGAAAACAGCAGAAGTGTCATCTCACCGACATGAGTTGTATCTTTTACATCAGCAAATTCATATACTATATCTAGTACATTGTCTGAGAGCTTGTAAGCTTATATCTCACAAAATCTTGATTAATCAGGCCAGTGATCCCACTTTGACAGGTGCCCACTTTGGCCAACTAAGGAAAAGCACTTAACTATAACCCTTAAATGTTTTAGGGGTCTCCAGAACACATTCTCTGCAGTGATGATATCAGAAATAATTATTCAATCTAAATGAAATGGCACCCTCAATTATTTCATTTCCTTTCAGATTAAACAAATCAGATGTAAATTGCATGATACATTTTCAACTACCTGTGAGGTAAAATAGCTTCACTATCACCAAACATATTGAAATGATATCGTTACATATAAATGCTGCGAAATGCTCAAAATGCTAAGACACCTGACCCCCCGTGATTAGGCTTACTCATATTTTCTTGCATCCAAGATATGTAATGCATATATATTATGAAAGGTAATGGGATAATATATTCAAAACTGAACTTGGAATGAAAATATCATCGTTGGTTGCAGAGTTATTGCAGGATATGTACTTAATACCCTAAAATTCTTTAGAAGGTGTGAAAACAAAACAAAAATTAAGGGGGTATCACTTGGGTCTATGGGGAATTTATAGAAATTTACAATTAAGAGAACCATTATGGCCTTCTGGGAACCACTGTGAACCTTTGAGAAACCCCTAGAGCCTATTTGTAAACCAGGAGCGGAAACAAGAGGTTTTAGGAATCTCCCTGGGCCAATGAAGGAAGCATAGGGGCTATTGACAATCAAACCTCTGTCACCTACTGGAGACTTCTAGGGCCTAGTGCTATAGTACATGTAGATCATTGGGGCCTAGGGACCAATTTACCATTTTAGGGAATTCCTAGGGGCTCCTAGGTATTTTGATAGGTTAGTTGTATTCGTTTCATTGATAAACTATTTGTATTTGAGACTGTAAGGAATAGATTTGTTAGTCAATATTGTACACGTTGCTTGTAATTTTGTCACCCCATATGTCTGATTTTGCCTTAAACTGCAGATTTTAGCACCTATTAGTATTCAGGGCCGTCAACTCAAAAATTGCAATGGATTCAACTAATCTGTTGCTGAGAAAATAATTATGAAAAAGTGTTTCACCTTTTTGGGAAACTCAATATATGTGCAGTGGAAAATCGATTGGAACAAGACGGGAGAAAAAAGTGTCGAAAAGTGATTCATCTTTTTGGGACACGAAATATGTGCAGTGGAGAATCGATTGGAAAAGTTAAGTATTTCATGAAATGCAAAGTAAAGTACGTCTAATATTGACTGTCCGTTTAGGATTATGCCTTAGTTAAGCTTTAATGTCCCATTTAATGTCCTACCCCTTTCTTACTGGGTTAGAACTTTTTGTTGCATATTTAGAATCTGTTACGAAGCTTTTCGATTGCCACAATAAACAACTAATGTTCAAAGACTATGCATACCGTATGAATGCAGAGGTGACAATGTAAAAAGTTTTTCATCCTGGGGCTTTTGTTGCCAACGCCCAAGTCTATTCCTGGGAAAATGTTCATAAAACATGTGTTGTCTATTTGTGTAGTCCTTTGCTGTTGCTTTTGAATGAAGATATGTTTGTCCCAACATCACACCGACTCTGAAAAAATATGAGTATTCATGCATTGATGAATTGGTCTCAATCGAGGGTGGGATAAAATAAAGTCCAAATTAGTACGCCTGTCACGGAGAAGGGTTATTATACCTTAGATAAGATGTTTACAAAATTGTATAGTTTTTCTTTTCTCAAATCTATTTCAAGGTTTTTAAACGTGTTTACAAAATTTACATTTGCGAGGGTATTTTACAAATAAAAATTCTACCTTAAGGTGTAGTGGTACTTAACAGGAAATGACAAAACAGGAAGTGACAAAACATGTGGCTTTTTAGACATTTTTTACAAAGATAACAGAGTTCTGTTTCGACCTCCAGTCAATTCAAATAGTTCCACATATCATTTACAGGACCAGGATCATTAATGTACATTGTCAGAATGACACTAAACATGATGAAATAACCTTTTCTGCCCTCTGAAAATGTAACTGAATGATAGCTAAAAGTAGCCACTCAGGAAAGGTCACTGAACAGAATCTTTTGAATTTTTCAGAAAATGCACCCAATATATTTCCCTAACTGATACAATCTTTAACATTTTAGAAAATTGTCAAAAACAAAAATGGTGGTCATAAAAATTCAATTAAGTTTTTTCTTTTTCTACGAATGATATCACATTTTCAAAGATTGTATTATTTAGAGCAATATATTTGGCACATTTTCAAAAACAAGGCACAGACGTGAACAATATCGTACCTAAAACACAGCATTGTGGTCTTGTTGACCAAGAAAGCAAGATGGCCGCAGAAAAGTTAATCAGCTCTAGAACTTATCACTGTATAACATATGTAAAAAATTGAACGGTTTGGCTGGAAACCTGTAGACAAGCCTCGATAGACAAGATTTTAGGACGGAAATCTAAAATGGCAGCCTTACCATTTACCCAGAATGCCCAAAAACTAATCAGTTCTAAACTTTCATACATAAAAAGATCCCTGAAAATTTCAGATGCATTCCTCAAACAGTTTGGCTGGAAACCTGTAGACAAGTCTTGAAAGTGAAGATTTTAGGACGGAAAATCCAAAATGGCCACCTTAAAATTTACCCAGAATGCCCAAAAACAATCAGTTCTTGACGCTGATATGTAGAAACATCCCTGAAAATTTCAGATGAATCCCTCAAATGGTTTGGCTGGAAACCTGTAGACAAGTCTTGAAAGTAAAGATTTTAGGACGGAAAATCCAAAATGGCCACCTTAAAATTTACCCAGAATGCTCAAAAACTAATCAGTTCTTGACGTTGATATGTAGAAACATCCCTGAAAATCTCAGATGAATCCCTCAAATGGTTTGGCTTAAAACCTGTAGACAAGCCTTGAAAGTGAAGATTTTAGGACGGAAAATCCAAAATGGCCACCTTAAAATTTACCCAGAATGCCCAAAAACCAATCAGTTCTTGACGTTGATATGTAAAAACATCCCTGAAAATTTCAGATGAATCCCTCAAATGGTTTATTAAAGTTATTTCATCATGTTTATGGTCATTCTGACCATGTACATTGTGATCCTGGTCCTGTAAATGATATATGGAACTATTTGAATTGACTGGAAGTCAAATCAGAACTCTGTTATCTTTGTTCAAAAAACGTAATCAGATAAGTAATAAAAATCACAATGGGGGGGGGGGGGTGGTCCAAATGACGAGCGAATTGACTTTGCGTTATAAAAAAAGGTTTCAGAAATTAGGGTAAATCGATATAACGTACTTGTTTTTAGTGAGGCTGCATAGCGAGGCGTATAGTTGATACAATGTCTTTTTGGCCAATCTTGATACTCGGTCACCTACCCCAATACATCCCTTTCCTGAAAAAGAAGATACGACATCACATAACAATCCTATATGAGGGGTTTAGCAAACTGTTCAAATGCCATGTTGGTTCAAATTCACATAAAACAAGACAGTAAAACATTTGAGCATTTCTTAACCAATCAGCTACCTGGTGAAAAGTGTTTACTTGTCTTAGTTTGTATTCGCGAATGCAACTAACGTCTGTCAGCTACCGGATTAACCTAACAATTCATGACAAAGTCATTTAAATATGAATTGAAAAGTGGCAGGTACTATTCATATTTAAATGAGTTGCCCATAAAATAGCAGGCAAATACGGTAGCCGACAGGCGTTAGTTGCATTCGCGAATACAAACTTACCCTGGATTCCCCGTGAAAAGTGTTTATTCTTACCTGAAAAGGGCAGTTGATTCATTACGCATGTTAACCGATATAAGCCACGTTGACAATGAAGTGGTTGTTTTCAACACCAAACTTACCTTTGCTTATATCTAATAGTTCAGGAGAAGGATCTTCTTCAATGTCAGCCCAATTTAAACTCCGGCTGTTTGTGTCCGAGTTGCCACGGTGTTGAGTTCGTGATGTCACGCCAACCTTGTAGTAAATTTCGATTTATCAATGGATGGGCTTATCTAACGATCTGTCGCTGCACAGGTATTATTATCTTATTTACCCCAATTTCTCGCCTTATTTCTTTAATTTTGTCTTAGTTTGCAAAGGGTAACTGACAGAAAAGCGGGTTTTAAACATTGTTTCCATTATAAACATGTTAAACTATAGTTTGGGATATTATAGGGGTTGCACTGCCTTTTGATTGATCATTTACGGTGTTTTGTTATCGTATTTGGTATTTTTACTTTCATATCTACTAGCCTGGTGTAAAATAAATTATGGTCCCCCGGGGATTATGGTCCCCTTTCCTTACGTCCCTCACTGGCCCTGACTGTGTATAAATAATAAGGAAAATAATTGGACCAAAATTTGATAGGACCACATACCCTTTTACACCGGGTCTACTAGATTTTTTTTTTATTTAGGCGTACCTTCGGGTGGTTTATTCTATACGGCGATGGACCTTTGTCTCTCCCGTCTGAAGCGCTAATTCGTTGACTCAGATCACATTGGCCATTATCTAACCTGCAGCAAACCGCTCTTGTAAAATGTCCATGTCGGAATGTTGAGTTATCACCTGAAAGTAAACGCATCATAAACAAAATTTCAATAGATGATCACAGTCAATAGATAAAAGTTAAGTATAATTAGAAACAAGGCATTAACATGCAAAATGCTACAACCTGCCATTTGTTTTAGATGCCAAACATCAAAGACAACCCACTGAACGTCAAAAACAATGCGATGATCAATGCAAGTATAATATATAGATTTTAAGAAGATAGACTTTACCCTTTTAAATCAAAATGAATTTGTTCATATGAAGAATAGTACAATACAAGTGCCAACTCTTACTTAATGGAAGTTTTTGAGGCGCAGGTACACGTACACGCATCCTTGGCCCAAGAGTAATTCATTGCATTACATTATGATCTGCTATGAAAGCAGTGAAGGACCGATCTTGAAGGATGACGTACACGGTGATTAATGCATTTCTAAGTTAGGACAATCTATGTTATTATAATAAAATGTTGTTTGTACATTACGATTTTACTATCAAAATGACAAGTTCATGAACCCATACGTCAGTACCCTAATATGCTCACCAATTGTAATGGATTTTAAATAAACGGGCTCAATGAAGTTGGTCAGAAGTGCTCCCTGAAGACCAAGCGCATTCCACTTTGCTATCTTGTCACTGCATGACATTGTAAACAGGCGTTCTCCTGGAAAATATTGGCCTTTCGTAATGATTATCAAATATTAATTATTTGAAACTGCAAGTTTACACGGGTAAGTGATTTTCGAGGAGTTGCTATCGATTTCGTGTTGAATGAACATTGTCATTTTAAAAATATGATATCACTAATTATGTAAGTCACGAAAGTAGCCATCAAAACAGCCGTTCTTGTAATTGCTATAAATCAGGGGGATATTTATTTTTCTTTATATACCTGACATGATACCACCCCAGGTTGGTGTAGGGAGACCCTCTAGCATGAGAGCTGCCCCTTCTCCCATCTCCACCTTATAGCGGAGACATCCATCGTTCGGTCGACCAAACAGCGGCCTGTGACCAGACTTTGGGTTTACAGAAGGGAGGGTCTTGTCGGGATCAGTGACACTGAACGTCTTCGAGTCTCCACATGGTGCAGTACTATAATGAAAAAGGTTCGTGACCTTTTAGAAACAATACATTAGTCATTTAAACCTTTTAAAACGCATACAACCAGATGAGGTTGCAAAGTGTTTATACATTGAAAGTTTAGATTTGCAGCTTGACTAATGTATTACGGTATAACTGAATGGAGTTGCAATAATGAAATATGTGTTCAGATTTCGTTCAGATAAGAATATAATACATGACAGATACTGGCTAGCATATCTGACACCTAATATGTGACTCAGTCGCGAATGCTTTTTAGATATTACTAGAAATAATATGTTACAAACATAGTCGTGTGTGTGAATTATTTCAAAAGCATCGTTTATCTTACTACCTTATATAAAGATGGAATGTGACAGTATCCTTGATCTTTAGTTTTCTGCTACGACTCATTGGTTCATATATATTGCTTGAAAATGCGCCTTGACTCCCGTAATACTGGAACAGCTGGGAATATAAGAATCGTAATAACCCACGTCTTGCTATCACCTCAGCGTGGCAGTCGTTTACCGTGAGGCCTTCATAGCTTCGGTTAACTCCCATGATACATCTTGTTCCCGTGCCTGTTTGCAAACAATATAATGCATAATATAATGGTTCCGTGGGAGAACTTGAGGAATAGTGAATATGAAAATAATGCTGTTAGAACATTGGAAAATGCGCACAATAGATTAAACGATTTTTGATAACAACCTTTATTTTATGTTGCCTGCGAAAAACACTAGACACACTTACCAATGCTAACGACACTATCTATTGTACAATTTGATCTCACTTCTCTCATTATAATGCCTGCGACTACTGTCCTTCCTTTATCACAGTCAATGATTTGTGGATTCTCGTGGACCAAGCTTCTGAATTTCTCCATAACAAGGGCTTCTATTTTATCTTCATCAGTCATGATAGAAGCTGTATCAGATGTGTCGTCCATTCGAGTCGCTTGTTTCAGTAGCGCATCTAAAGCTAGCTTTGCAGAATCGCTTTTGGCGGTATCCTTTCGTCTCGTCTTACTTGAAGGATAAATAACACCATCGATTACCCATGCGTAGGAAAAATATGTTCCAGGGCCTCCCCTGACAATGGGGTCATCTACACGATGTTTGTATTTTTGGCAATACTCCATCAGTGCACTAATAGGGTTCTTGCTTAAATCTTGGTACTTGGAATCATTGTCTTCTGAAATGCATTTCGTCCAAAGTCCCTTCTTTTTTATATCATCAATAGCAGCTTTCGCTGCGCTCTTCTGCGCGTCTTTTTTGTTAAAGTCATTACCACCAGATGTATACTCTTTATCTTCATTGTTAATAGTTACCGTTACTTTTGCTGTAAACTTCTTAAGATGATCAGAACCACGAGAAGCTATATCATACACTGGACAACGAAGATGTCTGGCCTGGTAGTATTCTTGTAGTTCACCGATTGGATTTATAGCGTTGGGATTGACACCATTCGTGTCTTGAGTTACGTTAAGGTCTATATCAACACCCAGAGCTTTCAAAGCTTCTGCAGCTGCTTGCTGCTCGGAATCTTTCTTTTTGGTGGCCTTTCCAGTCCCGAATAATTGATCTGAAATATACGTAGAATTCGAAAATTGATTTATGAAATTCATGCTAACGAAGTCCTAGACTGTTTAACTATATCCATGTATATTGTATTTGTGATAATGCAATATATATTTTCAATTTAGATACACATCGACAAATTCAAATGAAACTCGCTACACGTATACCATAAACGAAACTTTACTTTGTATGTAATTTTGAAGAAAACATTTCAAGTGAGCATTGTTGCTGTCTAGCCAGTCTAGCCTGTCTAGCATGCAACAAGTGTTCTTATTTTAATAAAATATTTCAATATATTGATTTCCAGAACAAAGATGCAAATGGGAATAGTCATACGGTTATTCTAAAGGCTGCATTATCCATATTACATTCAGTGATTCACAACTTATAGATGAAAATGTTAACGAAGTAATGTTTCATCGATCTATCAAAGACTTACCGCCAATGTAGACATTCACCACAAAGTAAGGACAATGGTCCATCCCTTCCTTTGATTGCACTTTATACTGAGGTGGCGACTTCCCTCTTTTTTGTGTCAGCTCGTTCAATCGGCCTTTGTAGTTCGTAATGGACATCTTGGTTTTCTGATTGGATATGCAGTTAGTGGATTTTAACTATATGAATTACTGGATGCCTATCAATGTGGCTGGCTGTAAAATGGCTCTTTGAATGGACTGAAGTCATGCAGATTGGTTGGGTCTAAACAATTGTAGGTTATCATCTGACTTTCTCCAGGAACATCTGAATGGGCTCTCAATGCATTTCTAGTTCAGTCAATCCAACGTGCTCATTACGATATAGTAATTCAACGTGTCAATTTGATTTATCAATGTTTTCCTTTATGTCAGTCTGATGGTATTTGATCTGCAATTACAAATTAATCAAGTGTTGTAGTGAATTAAGGAAAATAGAGATGATCGACTTGTATAGAGACGTATTACTTTTGATTAAATGTTTGAAAAACCACTTGTTCATGCATACGTGGGAACACTTTATATTTTTGTGATTGAAAATGGTTCTATGTGGGTTTCCAGAATGGTAAACCTAAATAGGTATAAGAAACCCTTGAATCAATTTGTATGATTTTTGCCGACCTCCATTTGATGAACAACTGTTACACCATCCCTACATATAACATTACCTACATGAAGAGTAACAAGCTCGTATATGGTATAAACATACACATATGTAGGCGTGTTTATGTCTTATTTGGTGTCTTCTCTAAAAACAGATGATTCAAAAAGTTAATATCCAAGAAATGCGATACCCTTATTCCACATGTTTAATAGTATACAATAATTCAGTTAAGTTCTTACCCCCTGATGTTGCCTCGGGGATGACTTCCTCAGCAAATGTGTTTAGCAGAATCAAATCAGTTTCGTTTCATTAGCGATAACTTTCCCCATCACGAATCGGTCAAGAAAACGAAAGTGACTACATTTGAATCAAAGTTTCCTCTTTGGAAACCAAACTTATGGCTAAATTTAGAAGTAGGCACAAATGGGATAGTCATACGTGAAAGCTGAAAATTGAAGTGCATATATCGCAGTATTAAAATACGACATTTTAACTTTGGACCCACTTAATTTTATCAGGTTAAAACAAACAAACAGGTTATTATATTGACCTAGCTATATATACGAGAAGCCATAAAATTAGAGTAGACGATGGGATTTAGATTTATCCCTGGAGAATCTTGAGTGTGGTGGATGTAGGGCTAGATTGTGATATCCCGGATGTGGCCAAAAAGAAATGAAAATGGACACATTCATTGAGTGTTTTAAAACGTTGACAAAAATCGTCCTTTTGACAAAATTCAAATTTTTTCATGTGTTATTTCATTTTTAATTATTCCATGTGTAAACTTACTGAATAAAATCATAATGGTTGTCATCCATTAGCATTCGCATGTATCCTGTTTATAAGATTAACACACAACATGCTTACATGTGAAAATTCTTGGTATGATTATTGTGTGCTGATCTAGATTTACTTCACCTCATGTAAAAAAGATGGCGTATTTAATTGTGGCTGCTGAGCAAGTCCGACTGGAGTAGTTTAAATAGTATATCTCAAGTTTTTGACAGTAAACACTTTATACAGACACACTTACCTATGCTAACAATACTATATTTTGTACAACTGGATCTAGCTTCTCTCATCATAATGCCTGCAACGACTGTCCTTCCTTTATCACAGTCAACGATTAGTGAATTTTCGTGTCCAAGCTGTAGATGTGTCGTCCATTCGGGTCGATTGTCTCGGTAGTGCATCTAAAGCTACTTTTGGCATATTTTCGTCTAGATTTACTTGAAGGATAAATAACACCATCGACGGCCCATGCGTAAGGAAAATATGTTCCATTACTGCTGAGCACAATGGGGTCATCTACACGATGCTTGTATTTTTGACAATACTGCATCAGTGCACTATAAGGGTTCTTAATTGCAAATATTAATCCTTTTGACAAAATTCAATTTTTTAATTTTCCCATTTGTTATTCCATTTTTAGTTAAGCATGCGCATCTTGTTTGTAAAAATGGGCAATACAGATTAACACAACATGCTACATGTGATAATTCTTGGTAAGTGCACTGTGAGTATTGTGTGCTGATCTAGATTTATTTCACCTCATGTATAAAAGATGGCGTATTTAATTGTGGCTGCTTCGCAAGTCCGATGGGAGCTTCGAGCTACTCGTCCAAGAGAACGTATACGTAAACGTGTAACAGGCCCGTAGCCAGAATTTTCCAAGGGGGGGTTCGTTTTTCTAAAAAATTCTAGGGGGGGGTTCACTTTGGCAAATATGGCCAAAAATCACTCAAAAATTAGTAAGAATGGTGAAAAACTGCATGATTTTGAAAGAAATTTTGGCCAGGGGGGGGGGTTCGCCCGAACCCCCCGAACCCCCCCTGTCTACGGGCCTGTGTAATATTATGATCCATGGGATTACTACCCCCTCTCAATTATTTTTCCAATGACCTAATTACAGCTATTTAAATTATCCATTCATCTTTAGTTGAGCAAGTTGATACTAGGAAGGGGAGAATTAATCATTAGAGATCTACAATTTTTCACATTCACGTACATGTTTTCTCCATACGTGTAGCTTAACCTCCCTACTGTGTAGCTTGTCCTTCGCCAATTAGGCCTAATATTGTCCTAACGGGTAACTGCATGATCACATATGTGGTGTTGAAGCAGAATTGGTCAGCATGTACGGAAACCTGAACAACAAATATAAATTGTTCTACCCTCCCTTCCGAAATCGTGTTGGCATCCGGAAGTCACATATTTGACCACATGTTGAGGCTAGGTCGTGTTTTGTGATTATAACAAATGCACCATCCCCATGGCCACAATTACACTTTTCTGTCCATTCGAATCGAGGGATTCAGACATGATCAAGCTCAAATGGGCTTTGGAATTTTTGTTTCCGATTGCCAAACTTATTCAAGGCACGTTACTACAGAGAGAACTATTTTCCTGGGTCACATTTGCTCTTCGACAGGAGTACGGGGCCCCGTAGCTTCACAAAATCGATATAGATAATGTACATCGTACTGCTTATCCCTATATAACGGTCGCCGTACGGATGCCGTCGATGAAATGTGATCGAGGCATTAATACTCAAATTTGGCCAGCAAGTAACATGTAGAAAGAGGGCAATAGTCTATTGAGATCGTCATTTCTGTTACTCAGTGCAATATCCGACAAAATGCCCCAGTCACAATTACTCAGGTGCGAGTAAGTAGTTAACAGTTTCGCCACCAGGTGGCTGATTCGGGGGAATTAACATGGCAGGGTATTACAAAATTCCCTTAAACTTGAATATGCATTAGTTTTAGTGGTTCATTTTTCATATTACCTTTATGTATCTGATAGTTATACAAATAAAAATATGTCCAGTAAAAGAAAATATTATCTGTTCAACACAAGAAAAGATATTTCACTTTTTGGGGTTTTACAACATGGGGTCTATGGGGAATCTCCCCGACCTAGAAGTCACATTTTCAAAGAAAATTAAATTTTTTAAGTTGATAAACTCTTTTCAAAACCTCATTTCTAAATGAAATTTTACATGTAGATTCCAAATATGATATCAGTTTGACTGAATTGTGAATTTTAAATGACGTAAATCAAGATTATTTCTACTCGCATCTGGGATATTGATCCACGGTAACCGATGGCGGCCATAGCTTCCCTAAATCTAAATAAATATGCAGCATCAAATATAGGTATAAGACGAGGTGCTTCGAGAAATTTAACGCATTTGTAAAATCGTGGACACTGGAAATCATCGTAGAAATCAAAAATCGCCAATCCGCGAATCGCAATTGACGATGTTTACGAGAAACAGGCTCCTATTCACTGCTTTGGAGCGATTTGTCACCATGACTTATGTGAGTGAAATGGTGAAAGCCCTTTTAACTAGAATACGTCCAAGTTAATTTACACTTTTTTGTAACTATCTGACACAGAATGTTCTTTGTGCATCGCTATGATAATTAATGGGGACAACACGTCGTGTCGGGACAATCACTGGAGCGGTATTTTATCTTTTTACATATTACGAAAAAAGATGTACATAAAAAGCTACACGTTACAAAGTGACACTATGAGGTATATATCAAACCCTATACAGACTGTGCTATACGCAAACAAGCGGTGCGGATATTATTTGCGCAAGGTGCGGATATTAACGGTCATTTTTGAATTTGAATTTGTGATATTTCATAAACTAAGACATGTTGGGTACTCAATTATAGTCATCCATTTGTACAGGATGCTCAATAAGATGGAAATGTTGTCTATAGTCGTATTATCAATTCTTTAACGATGAACTATGCATTCACCCTTGCTTCATAGCAAAGAATTTGAAATTGGTTTTATCACACAGTTTACAGCCCTTTTTTCATTTTGAAAGTCATAAACTTACACAGAAACCGTTCAACTTTCAAAATGCAAATACAATTTGTATTGATAGGTCATTTGGATCTGGATCAGCAACATTGAATGAATGCTGATTACGCTGTAAAACAGTTGCAATTTCAAATTATTTGCTTTGGAGAGAGTGTTATTGCTTGATGTGTCGCTATAGAATGAACCACACACCTATTTACACAATTTCCTTTTTATTGGGGAACCTGTTCACATGTATGAATATAATTGAGTACCCAACATGCCTAAGTTGGTGAAATATCACGAAATTAAATTAAAAAAGACCGTTTCTATCCGCACCTTGCGCAAATGATATCCGCACCGCATTTCGTATAGCACAGTCCTCATAGAGTGTATCAGCATTATACAAGAGCAAGACAACAATTTAACCGATTAGAAATTAAATGAGTTATGCACGTTATTTTTCTGAATACTCCGAGCCATGAGGGATAGATAAGAGAATTATAAAGTAACTAGGCATAATGATCCGAGTTGAAGCGATTTTTATACACTGTATAATATGTAAATTAGTCTGGATGCTATGGAGTGACATTAATATGTCAGTCACACGCGGCTAGCTGTCTGGGACACACAGGCGTTTATAACAAAAGTCCATATTAGGCCAAGGTACATTGTAAAAACTAAATATTATTTCGTGTGAGTTTTTTCCAGAGCCCACATCAAGTACTTTTCAACTTCTGCAGGTCACGAAAATAAAAGCTACTATTGGGTTGCTCTTTTATCAATGGATGTGTCGTTCTGGGGGTATCTGGTCAACTCGGACCCTAGTTAACTCGGACCCTAGTCAACTTGGACCCTAGTTAACTCGGACCCAGTTATAAATTATAAATCAGAGGTATTTTGCTATTTTAGAGGTGAAAGCAATTAACTTGCAAAATATTAAGAATTTTAATTTATCGTCAAATACTGTTTCTTTGTAATACAAACTAACTGGTTTCATATAAAATCAGACTCTTGGTTATTAAATATTTATTGCTACCGGAATATAATTTTACAATCAGGCTGAATGGTTGACTCAAAAGTGTCAAAATTTCTTTTTACCATTATCAACCATTGCTTTATCTAACAATTATATATGATCAATGTTGTTTTTATATATTACTTTTCATTTCAATGCTCAAACTAAGGAAAAATCTAAAAAATACATACCAAGTTGACTAGGGTTCGAGTTAACTAGGGGTCCGAGTTAACTAGGGTCCGCGGCCCTAGTTGACTAAGGTCCGAGTTAACTAGGGTCCGAGTTGACTAGGAACCGTTCTGAGATGAGTCGGTTTTCAATGATTTGATATAAAATATGACTCACGTGTTATGTCAAGCAGTTCTCCATAATTTGTAGATATATTAAAAGAGTAATGTTTCAATTTTTGAATAAGTTAAGATACATGAGCAAAGTTGTAATGTAATATAAGGAGCTAGTATGTGATTCACTATGATTTTGCAACAATAAAGTGTAAATGGAAATGAGGAACCGCGCGGGCCCTTTTTATTTTGTTTTAAACAGAATAATTTATCAGCCGGGAATAAATAATTGCACTGGCCCTATAAAGGAAACAACCAAAA